CGGGGGGGGGGGGACCTCACCATTGTGCACAAACTAATGCAGTATTTCAGTCATTATATGCCTATTAGACCTTTCCAGGAAGGTCACAACCTTGTCCGGCCTTTGCTGAGCTCTGATACTTCCCCTGCTAAGTCTTACTAACCTATTGCATTGCAGAGGGGGGCGTGCCATCACTCAGACTTTGAGCTGAAAGTCGATATTTGCATATTTAGCTCCCCATATTTGGAGCTCTCGGGCACTCAGGAAGATAAAAGTTGCTGCATGAACTGGTGATTCTCCTTTAATACTTCACACATGACGGGTTCAATCCAGACAAAGAACCTGCAGAGAGTCACTTTGGCTTCCAGCCGCGGCCGTAAACGAAAGACAAACACTGTCAGATTGCTGCGGCCGGGAGGGAAAATAAATGAAGTGTTCTCAGAGAATTTGGTCACCGGAGGGATTCCCCGTCGCCGAGCATCAGCGAGGGCCAAACCGATGATCTGGAGGAAAGTTTACTCTGGAAACAGTCAGAAAGGTTTCCAGACATCCCTGCAATGCCATTACGCCGTGACGCACATCTGAGTATGTAACACATTATTGTATTTATAGCAAAATAAGACGTTTGGGGCAGTCGTAGTGATCAGTCTGCTGCAGGCAGGAGGAAGCGTTTCCTCAGTCTCCCCTCCCCCCAGTGATCAGTCTGCTGCAGGCAGGAGGAATCCACTGATGACAGGTGTGTATTGTGAGCTTCTCCTCTACGATCCCCATGGACAGTATTCATCTTCTATACACATTGATTGGGTCCCGTTGTGTCTTCATATCATTTCAGGGGTCTCTTTCATGCATGTCGGGGCCACAGACGGAGACGACCCAGCCACAGAGAAGGCTGACTTACGTTACACAATCATCCAACCCGATGAGAGCGTGTTCCAGATAGAGCCGAGGACGGGAGCCGTGTCCCTAACGGAACAAGGTGAGTCCATGTGTATCCAGAATAAGAGACTGAGAAAGGGGGCAGCTGATCTATCTAAGCACCCGGCGAAGGGGGGAGGGGGGGACTTCCAGTATTGTAAAAACACACAAGATCCGCAAACACACATGAAAGACTTGCTCAGGGCAATCCATTGAGACAAAGCAATAGGACTAATCACACAGGCCTCTCTCCTTCCCTTCAGTCTTCTTTCTGACCAACGGCCTTCCATTCACTCTTCTATCTGACTTCTATCCTTCCCTTCACTCTTCTATATCTCCCCCATCATCTCATCCTTCATCTTATCTGACCTCTGTCCTTCCCTTCAGTCTTCTATCTGACCTCCGTCCTCCCCTTCAGTCTTCTATCTGACCTCCGTCCTTCCCTTCACTCTTCTATCCGACTTCCGTCCTTCCCTTCAGTCTTCTATCTGACCTCCGTCCTCCCCTTCAGTCTTCTATCTGACCTCCGTCCTTCCCTTCACTTTTCTATCCTACCTCCGTCCTTCCCTTCAGTCTTCTATCTGACCTCCGGCCTTCCCTTCAGTCTTCTATCTGACCTCCGGCCTTCCCTTCAGTCTTGCACAGTTGTAGCGGCTCCTCTCCTCTTCCTCTGATCTCACTACACACTGGGAGTTTCTCACAATGGGCATTAGAAGATCCAAGCTCCTTCCCGGGATGGACTACAATCTCATGTTCCGTTTACTAATATGTATGGAGATTGTAGTCCATCCCGGGAGCCAGCTTGGAGCGGTGACTACTTTACAACACATACAGGAACCATGGGGAACAGACGTAGCCACCCTCCAGAAGGAAGGACAGTGTCAGAGATGATTGGAGGATCTACAGCCGAGTGAGACACAAATAAGAGACATTGTTGCTAATAGTCGAGGTACTTGAATGTGTTGGTAAGATTTATCTCCTGAGTTCGGTGTCACTTTAATATCATTAACAATGTAACATTTTCAGGCGAGATAAGATGTACATTACAGAGCAGAGATCCTTTTGTATTGTTACCTGCAGCCTCAGATCTGTCCGTGTGTACTGCAGGTGGATTTGCACAGCATCACCTTTTCTGTCCAATCATAAGAAATGTTACACAGATATCAAAGTCACCGCCGCTGATAATTTACAGAACCCACATAAAATATATACAGTATATATATCATTATTTTTTGTATAGGTTACTTGGGGTTCCTTGAGATGTGGCTGATCGCCGTCCAATTTGTGCCTATTTTTTATTTTTTTTTGCTTTTTTTATTTCGTTGTTTTTGCATAGCTATATATCTAAATATCACACAAAAAATAAAAATATAAAAAAATTGAAAAAAACATAAAAAGTAAGCCTGCAAAAAAGGAGATAATGTATAACAAGTAGCGCCGAATCGTAATTTATAAAACGGGGACTTGTGGCAGAGAACCGGATAATTTTTAGGTCTGTGAGAGCGCGCAGACCAGAAACTAGAAAAGACGAGGGAGTCAGCACTTTCAGAGGGGTTGTGCGTTTCGCTGATGACAGGTTCGCTTTAAAGGAGAACTATGAGGGGGGGAGGGGTGCTTTTCACTCGCCTCATAGTTCTAGCCGACCTGTGACAATGAGACTGTCACAGGTCGGCTCAGTAGATCGGGAGGTGAGCGAATTCATACCGGCGTTCGCTCACCTCTCCATCCTGTCACGGCTCTCTGCAGTGACAGGGGAGGGGCTGGATTCCCTCCTCCTCGCTCCGATCTGCCAGCGCTGACTGGCGGAACGGACGGGGGAGGGAGCGGGTACAGCTGGCTCTGCCTCTAGATAGGCAGAGCCAGCTGTCAGTCACGCAGCTGGGCGGATCCCGGCACAATTGTCGGGATCCGCTTCGGCTGCGGCGTCTCAGTATACCGCGGGCAGCAGCTCTCCTTATACTGAGCCTAGGGTGACGGAAGGACGCTAGTTTGTGTCCTCCCGTTACCCTTAGGAGAACTATGGGGAAAAGCCTGAACCCCATAGTTCTCCTTTAACTGCCGACTGTAAAACTCTTAAGAGTTTATGAAAACGGTGTCGTTAATGTTTCAAGGCCCCTTCCATCCGCCGCGCTGTCATGGTGACAGAGAGGAAAAGTACAGAGCGCGGACGCTTTATCCTCCTAATTGCCGTCCGCGGCTTTCACGACACGTGACGGCGATGGATTCATCCCGTCCATACAATGCGCTCATTTTCCGCCGTGGATATAGAGTGCCAAGGACGGCCCGGCTCTCGGCAGAAGTGAACTGCGGCTAATGTTTCCGAGCCGCGCTTTTTCATGGCTCATCAATGCGGCGGGTCACAGGGATTGAGCAGCGTGAGTCATTGAAGAGCCGCGGGGGTTTCGGCGGTGAATGGACCTGAGAACACACAGGACTGGAGAGAGAGAGAGAGAGGAGGATTGTACGGGAGATGAATGGGGTCTGATTCACAAGCTGCACATTTGTCTGAAACAAAACTCCAAAACTCCTCATCTGGACGTGAGAAGAAACGTTTCATCGTTCAATAAAGTTTTATTCAAAGTTTTCTATAAAAGATACAATGTTGTGGGATACGCGTTTCACCACAATAAGACCACCTGACGTAAGAAGGTTCACTGAGCAGAACTCTACAAGAAAAGCAATGGAAGCTTAAACTCAACATGTCATACATGAAACAATGAAACATCAGATGAACGCAGCATGGGGGGGAGGGGGGACATTATAGTAACCGTGTTGGGGTAGGATGTGGGAAAATTAGGAAAGGGAAAAGGGGGGAGGGGGAGGGGAAATACCACAAAACGAGGAAGTAATAATATCCCATCTCTTGTTATGGAAACAATATGAATGGATTTGGATCAGTCATTCTCCACCAATGTTCCTCCAAAGGTTACTTGGGGTTCCGTGACATGAGGCTGAATGGCCTCCAATTGCTGCCTGTCCAACAACACTTGGCAGAGCCAGAGGGATAAGACCAGGTGATCTTTCTTCCCACTGACCCCCAATGTAAGGAGCATTCTTCCCACTGACCCCCAATGTAAGGGGCATTCTTCCCACTGACCCCCAATGTAAGGGGCATTCTTCCCACTGACCCCCAATGTAAGGGGCATTCTTCCCACTGACCCCCAATGTAAGGGGCATTCTTCCCACTGACCCCCAATGTAAGGGGCATTCTTCCCACTGACCCCCAATGTAAGGGGCATTCTTCCCACTGACCCCCAATGTAAGGGGCATTCTTCCCACTGACCCCCAATGTAAGGGGCATTCTTCCCACTGACCCCCAATGTAAGGGGCATTCTTCCCACTGACCCCCAATGTAAGGGGCATTCTTCCCACTGACCCCCAATGTAAGGGGCATTCTTCCCACTGACCCCCAATGTAAGGGGCATTCTTCCCACTGACCCCCAATGTAAGGGGCATTCTTCCCACTGACCCCCAATGTAAGGGGCATTCTTCCCACTGACCCCCAATGTAAGGGGCATTCTTCCCACTGACCCCCAATGTAAGGGGCATTCTTCCCACTGACCCCCAATGTAAGGGGCATTCTTCCCACTGACCCCCAATGTAAGGGGCATTCTTCCCACTGACCCCCAATGTAAGGGGCATTCTTCCCACTGACCCCCAATGTAAGGGGCATTCTTCCCACTGACCCCCAATGTAAGGGGCATTCTTCCCACTGACCCCCAATGTAAGGGGCATTCTTCCCACTGACCCCCAATGTAAGGGGCATTCTTCCCACTGACCCCCAATGTAAGGGGCATTCTTCCCACTGACCCCCAATGTAAGGGGCATTCTTCCCACTGACCCCCAATGTAAGGGGCATTCTTCCCACTGACCCCCAATGTAAGGGGCATTCTTCCCACTGACCCCCAATGTAAGGGGCATTCTTCCCACTGACCCCCAATGTAAGGGGCATTCTTCCCACTGACCCCCAATGTAAGGGGCATTCTTCCCACTGACCCCCAATGTAAGGGGCATTCTTCCCACTGACCCCCAATGTAAGGGGCATTCTTCCCACTGACCCCCAATGTAAGGGGCATTCTTCCCACTGACCCCCAATGTAAGGGGCATTCTTCCCACTGACCCCCAATGTAAGGGGCATTCTTCCCACTGACCCCCAATGTAAGGGGCATTCTTCCCACTGACCCCCAATGTAAGGGGCATTCTTCCCACTGACCCCCAATGTAAGGGGCATTCTTCCCACTGACCCCCAATGTAAGGGGCATTCTTCCCACTGACCCCCAATGTAAGGGGCATTCTTCCCACTGACCCCCAATGTAAGGGGCATTCTTCCCACTGACCCCCAATGTAAGGGGCATTCTTCCCACTGACCCCCAATGTAAGGGGCATTCTTCCCACTGACCCCCAATGTAAGGGGCATTCTTCCCACTGACCCCCAATGTAAGGGGCATTCTTCCCACTGACCCCCAATGTAAGGGGCATTCTTCCCACTGACCCCCAATGTAAGGGGCATTCTTCCCACTGACCCCCAATGTAAGGGGCATTCTTCCCACTGACCCCCAATGTAAGGGGCATTCTTCCCACTGACCCCCAATGTAAGGGGCATTCTTCCCACTGACCCCCAATGTAAGGGGCATTCTTCCCACTGACCCCCAATGTAAGGGGCATTCTTCCCACTGACCCCCAATGTAAGGGGCATTCTTCCCACTGACCCCCAATGTAAGGGGCATTCTTCCCACTGACCCCCAATGTAAGGGGCATTCTTCCCACTGACCCCCAATGTAAGGGGCATTCTTCCCACTGACCCCCAATGTAAGGGGCATTCTTCCCACTGACCCCCAATGTAAGGGGCATTCTTCCCACTGACCCCCAATGTAAGGGGCATTCTTCCCACTGACCCCCAATGTAAGGGGCATTCTTCCCACTGACCCCCAATGTAAGGGGCATTCTTCCCACTGACCCCCAATGTAAGGGGCATTCTTCCCACTGACCCCCAATGTAAGGGGCATTCTTCCCACTGACCCCCAATGTAAGGGGCATTCTTCCCACTGACCCCCAATGTAAGGGGCATTCTTCCCACTGACCCCCAATGTAAGGGGCATTCTTCCCACTGACCCCCAATGTAAGGGGCATTCTTCCCACTGACCCCCAATGTAAGGGGCATTCTTCCCACTGACCCCCAATGTAAGGGGCATTCTTCCCACTGACCCCCAATGTAAGGGGCATTCTTCCCACTGACCCCCAATGTAAGGGGCATTCTTCCCACTGACCCCCAATGTAAGGGGCATTCTTCCCACTGACCCCCAATGTAAGGGGCATTCTTCCCACTGACCCCCAATGTAAGGGGCATTCTTCCCACTGACCCCCAATGTAAGGGGCATTCTTCCCACTGACCCCCAATGTAAGGGGCATTCTTCCCACTGACCCCCAATGTAAGGGGCATTCTTCCCACTGACCCCCAATGTAAGGGGCATTCTTCCCACTGACCCCCAATGTAAGGGGCATTCTTCCCACTGACCCCCAATGTAAGGGGCATTCTTCCCACTGACCCCCAATGTAAGGGGCATTCTTCCCACTGACCCCCAATGTAAGGGGCATTCTTCCCACTGACCCCCAATGTAAGGGGCATTCTTCCCACTGACCCCCAATGTAAGGGGCATTCTTCCCACTGACCCCCAATGTAAGGGGCATTCTTCCCACTGACCCCCAATGTAAGGGGCATTCTTCCCACTGACCCCCAATGTAAGGGGCATTCTTCCCACTGACCCCCAATGTAAGGGGCATTCTTCCCACTGACCCCCAATGTAAGGGGCATTCTTCCCACTGACCCCCAATGTAAGGGGCATTCTTCCCACTGACCCCCAATGTAAGGGGCATTCTTCCCACTGACCCCCAATGTAAGGGGCATTCTTCCCACTGACCCCCAATGTAAGGGGCATTCTTCCCACTGACCCCCAATGTAAGGGGCATTCTTCCCACTGACCCCCAATGTAAGGGGCATTCTTCCCACTGACCCCCAATGTAAGGGGCATTCTTCCCACTGACCCCCAATGTAAGGGGCATTCTTCCCACTGACCCCCAATGTAAGGGGCATTCTTCCCACTGACCCCCAATGTAAGGGGCATTCTTCCCACTGACCCCCAATGTAAGGGGCATTCTTCCCACTGACCCCCAATGTAAGGGGCATTCTTCCCACTGACCCCCAATGTAAGGGGCATTCTTCCCACTGACCCCCAATGTAAGGGGCATTCTTCCCACTGACCCCCAATGTAAGGGGCATTCTTCCCACTGACCCCCAATGTAAGGGGCATTCTTCCCACTGACCCCCAATGTAAGGGGCATTCTTCCCACTGACCCCCAATGTAAGGGGCATTCTTCCCACTGACCCCCAATGTAAGGGGCATTCTTCCCACTGACCCCCAATGTAAGGGGCATTCTTCCCACTGACCCCCAATGTAAGGGGCATTCTTCCCACTGACCCCCAATGTAAGGGGCATTCTTCCCACTGACCCCCAATGTAAGGGGCATTCTTCCCACTGACCCCCAATGTAAGGGGCATTCTTCCCACTGACCCCCAATGTAAGGGGCATTCTTCCCACTGACCCCCAATGTAAGGGGCATTCTTCCCACTGACCCCCAATGTAAGGGGCATTCTTCCCACTGACCCCCAATGTAAGGGGCATTCTTCCCACTGACCCCCAATGTAAGGGGCATTCTTCCCACTGACCCCCAATGTAAGGGGCATTCTTCCCACTGACCCCCAATGTAAGGGGCATTCTTCCCACTGACCCCCAATGTAAGGGGCATTCTTCCCACTGACCCCCAATGTAAGGGGCATTCTTCCCACTGACCCCCAATGTAAGGGGCATTCTTCCCACTGACCCCCAATGTAAGGGGCATTCTTCCCACTGACCCCCAATGTAAGGGGCATTCTTCCCACTGACCCCCAATGTAAGGGGCATTCTTCCCACTGACCCCCAATGTAAGGGGCATTCTTCCCACTGACCCCCAATGTAAGGGGCATTCTTCCCACTGACCCCCAATGTAAGGGGCATTCTTCCCACTGACCCCCAATGTAAGGGGCATTCTTCCCACTGACCCCCAATGTAAGGGGCATTCTTCCCACTGACCCCCAATGTAAGGGGCATTCTTCCCACTGACCCCCAATGTAAGGGGCATTCTTCCCACTGACCCCCAATGTAAGGGGCATTCTTCCCACTGACCCCCAATGTAAGGGGCATTCTTCCCACTGACCCCCAATGTAAGGGGCATTCTTCCCACTGACCCCCAATGTAAGGGGCATTCTTCCCACTGACCCCCAATGTAAGGGGCATTCTTCCCACTGACCCCCAATGTAAGGGGCATTCTTCCCACTGACCCCCAATGTAAGGGGCATTCTTCCCACTGACCCCCAATGTAAGGGGCATTCTTCCCACTGACCCCCAATGTAAGGGGCATTCTTCCCACTGACCCCCAATGTAAGGGGCATTCTTCCCACTGACCCCCAATGTAAGGGGCATTCTTCCCACTGACCCCCAATGTAAGGGGCATTCTTCCCACTGACCCCCAATGTAAGGGGCATTCTTCCCACTGACCCCCAATGTAAGGAGCATTCTTCCCACTGATCCCCAATGTAAGGAGCATTCTTCCCACTGATACAGATCTGAGTTGTCACGATCGTATTTACGGCTTTGATTTCTTGTCTCCTCAGGTGTCACTGTCATCTCCCGGGGCGATGTCGGCCATTTTAGGCTGTTGGTTCAGGTGAAGGATCTGGCCGGTAGTCCTTTGGGATTGGCATCTTCCGGTAACCTGGAAATCGCGGTGGCAGAAAACACCTGGAGCGCCCCCGACCCCGTGTCCATTCCCGAGAACCGGAAAGGAGATTATCCCGACCTCATATCTGAGGTAAGTGGGCGGATCCTCCGGGAAGTGTTCTCTGGCTGATGTCTAAGACCCGATGCAGAGGACACAGGACACCCCCAGTCTGTCGGGGTTTTATTGGGGGAGATTCCTCCTCATTGTTGTCCTGGTGTCACCGGAGTCACAGACAAAGCCCTCTACACACGGAGGACCATCCAGATGATGCTGAAGAATATTGGAGGCTGGGTGGAGGCACAGGTGTCAGGGGGGGCATTAAAACTGGAGACACTGGGGTGCACAGGGCATACTGGGAGTACTGGAGACACTGGGGTGCACAGGGCATACTGGGAGTACTGGAGACACTGGGGTGCACAGGGCATACTGGGAGTACTGGAGACACTGGGGTGCACAGGGCATACTGGGAGTACTGGAGACACTGGGGTACATAGGAGTGCACTGGAGACACCAGTGCACACAGGAATCACTTGGGAGCACTGGAGATACTAGGGCACACTGGGGACACTGGGGCACACAGGGGACACTGGGCACACTGGGCACACTGGGGCACACAGGGGACACTGGGCACACAGGGGACACTGGGCACACTGGGGACACTGGGCACACTGGGGCACACTGGGGACACTGGGCACACTGGGCACACTGGGGACACTGAGGCACACTGGGGACACTGAGGCACACTGGGGGGGGCACACTGGGGACACTGGGGACACTGGGGCACACAGGGGACACTGGGGACACTGGGCACACTGGGGACACTGGGGCACAGCGGATGGGGGGTCTGTGTGAAAGTCAAATCATTCACTCGGGGTGAACGTTGTATAAAGCTTTGTGTGATGTCACAGGTGCGCTGGAACAGTACGGAGATCCGATATGACGTGTCGGGGAACTTCCTTCGCGGTCTGTTCACCGCCGACCAGAGCGGAAATATTTACGTCGCCCAAGAACTCGACCGAGAGAGCCAATCCGAGGTGAGACCGCGTCTGTGTCCAGATCCTGAGACGCAGGACCATAAAGAGAACCTGTCATCAGTCTCCCACGTGTCACAATGTACAGCAACATACCTTTACACAAAGCCGTCCCTGAGCTCCAATCAGTGACTGTGACCAGGCTGAGATGATGTCATCAGTCTGCTGCAGGCAGGAGGAAGCATTTCCTCAGGCTCCCCTCCCCCCAGTGATCAGTCTGCCGCAGGCAGGAGGAAGCATTTCCTCAGGCTCCCCTCCCCCCAGTGATCAGTCTGCCGCAGGCAGGAGGAAGCATTTCCTCAGGCTCCCCTCCCCCCAGTGATCAGTCTGCCGCAGGCAGGAGGAAGCATTTCCTCAGGCTCCCCTCCCCCCAGTGATCAGTCTGCCGCAGGCAGGAGGAAGCATTTCCTCAGGCTCCCCTCCCCCCAGTGATCAGTCTGCCGCAGGCAGGAGGAAGCATTTCCTCAGGCTCCCCTCCCCCCAGTGATCAGTCTGCCGCAGGCAGGAGGAAGCATTTCCTCAGGCTCCCCTCCCCCCAGTGATCAGTCTGCCGCAGGCAGGAGGAAGCATTTCCTCAGGCTCCCCTCCCCCCAGTGATCAGTCTGCCGCAGGCAGGAGGAAGCATTTCCTCAGGCTCCCCTCCCCCCAGTGATCAGTCTGCCGCAGGCAGGAGGAAGCATTTCCTCAGGCTCCCCTCCCCCCAGTGATCAGTCTGCCGCAGGCAGGAGGAAGCATTTCCACAGTCTCCCCTCCCCCCAGGGAACAGATTGTAACTTTGTATCCAGTCACAAGGTGAGAGGCTGCAGTAGGGGCTGATCTGTGTCATCTCTGAGCCGCCATCCCAGTCCAGGAAGTAGATGGTGATGCCTGAACAAAGATGGCGCTGTCCTTCGGGAGAGGAAAGCAGATGACGGCATTGTCACGGGGGGTCATGTGATCTCTGTGAGAGGTGATACATACCCGGAAGGGTCACATGACACAATACTGATGACAGGTCCTCTTTACCATGACTCTGTGTCTTCCTGTACTCTGTGCTGAGTCTTCAGCGGAATGTTTTTGGGATTTCCCTCCAGTATGAGGTGGAAGTGTCGGCTCTGAACACTGAGGGGGTCCCGTACGCCGCCCCCCTCCGCCTCACCGTCACCGTGACCGATGAGAACGACAACGCGCCGCTCTTCACACAACACGCCTACAATGTGGAGATCACGGAGGCCGCGGAGAAAGGTTTGTGCGGTGCAGCGCTGAGGTCCTGGGCTCAGATCTGCATGGGGCTCGTATGCTCTTCCTGTGTTTCTTGCAGCGCTGAGGTCCTGGGCTCAGATCTGCATGGGGCTCGTATGCTCTTCCTGTGTTTCTTGCAGCGCTGAGGTCCTGGGCTCAGATCTGCATGGGGCTTGTATGCTCTTCCTGTGTTTCTTGCAGCGCTGAGGTCCTGGGCTCAGATCTGCATGCTCTTCCTGTGTTTTATGAATCCATGGCCTCACTTCTGCTTGCCCCGGTTGTATTGATCGGTCACTCTCATACATCTATACCCTCCACTTCCTGTCCAATGTGCTCTGCAGGTCGCCTCCTCCTGGAACTGAAGGCGGAGGACGGAGATGACCCCTCTACCCGGAATGCAGAGATTGTATACAACATCGAGAGCCAGGAGCCTGGGATCCCAGGGGGCGGCCTCTTCCGTATCGGAGGGAGAAGCGGGCGGCTGACCCTGCAAGAGGACGGCCTGGAGCCCGCCACCTACACCCTGATAGTCTCTGCCACCGACAGGGCCGGAGAACCGGGAGGTAAGTGGCCCCCGGGGGCCCCCAGAGCAGCCTGGGAGTCACCAGAACGCGGCTTCTAGTAAATGAAAGGACGGCGGCGCCATTGGTGACCTCCCCCTGAAGTCGCCCCTCTGACCTGGAGGGCGGGTTAGTAAATTGCTCCTCGTGGTTCTCCTCCAGGACTGCGCGGCTCCTGCACAGTGATGATCGAAGTGAAGGACGTGAATGACAGCCCGCCGGTCTTCACCCGGAACCAGGTGAGCGGTTCATTCTTCCCGGGAATGTTCCTGTTATCGTGAACCAACGCTGAGGACGGATATTTGGGGGTGTCAGGAGCACAGCCAGACCAAGATGGGGGGGAGGGGGGTTGTCACCCCTGCAAAGTGTCACCATACAAAATGAGCCACTGCACACTGTGTCACATGGCTTTGTTTACCAACAAAGTCATGTGATCAGCATGACAGCGCCCGACACGGCGATCACATGACTTTGTTTATAAACAAAGTATTCCGATTATTTAGAAAACCCGAACTCAACAACGAGCGTGTCATGTGACGGCTGCATTCCTTTTCCTCTTTCCTTTATTTTCTCCTGGCCAGTAACACGCTTCCTGTCCTAGGGTGACAACCTTCGCTGTGCTGTATTTATGGACGAGAAGCGTTGTTGCCCCTTGTTGGAGCTTCTTGCACAGCCTCACAGAGAATAATAAATAATAATAAAATAATGATGATAATGATAATAATTACAATAACAACAACAACAACAATAGCAATAATAATAAAATAAAGAAAATAACTTTTGGAAGACATTATTACCACAATAGTCTAGTTTGTCCCAGTTCACAGTATACAGATGACTTCGGTATCATCAGTAAGATGATTTCTCTCTGAAATTAAACACTTCATGGTTAAAATGTAACACTGCTCCTGGCCTATGAGTGGTCAGGAGGGATGCGCACCGGGTGACACCATCAGAGGGAGTGACAACAAAATTAGTCATTTTGGTGCCACCCCCTCTTAAAAGTCAGGCACACGGTCATGGACTGAGAGCCCGATAGCAGCATGAGAGAGAGGGGGGAGGACCCGGCGCATCGCTCCTGTGATGGACTACATTCTCAATACAAATGAGTAAACTAAACATGAGATTGTAGTCCATCCCGGGAGTGAGCTTGGAGCGGTGACTACTTCACAACACACACAGGGACAATGGGGAACAGACGTAGCCGCCCCCTCCAGAAGGAAGGACAGTGTCAGAGATGATTGGAGGATCTACAGCCGAGTGAGACACAAATAAGAGACATTGTTGTTCAGAGTTCAGGGACTGGAATGGATTTGTAAGATTTACCTCCTGAGTTTATTGTCACTTTAAAGGAGAACTATGAGGTTAGGGCTTTTCCCCATAGTTCTCCTTAGGGTAACGGGAGGACACAAACTAGCGTAGCTCGCGGTATACTGAGACGCCGCAGCTGAAGCGGATCCTGACAATTGTGCCGGGATCCGCCCAGCTGCGTGAGTGACAGCTGGCTCTGCCTATCTAGAGGCAGAGCCAGCTGTACCCGCCCCCTCCCCGTCCGTTCCCACCAGTCAGCGCTGGCAGATCGGAGCGGGGGGAATCCAGCCCCTCCCCGGCAGAGAGCCGTGACAGGATCGAGAAGTGAGCGAACGCCGGTATGTGTTCGCTCACCTCCCGATCTACTGAGCCGACCCGTGACAGTCTCATTGTCACATGTCGGCTAGAACTATGAGGTGAGTGAAAAGCAACCCCCCCCTCATAGTTCTCCTTTAAGGTTACTCTTCTGGATCTTCTGTTCCTCTGTATCTATTGTTATCTTTTAGATTAAAGGAGAAGTATGGGGGGAGGGGCTTTTCACTCACCTCATAGTTAGAGCCGACGTTTGACAATGAAACTGTCACAGGTCGGCTCAATAAATCGGGAAGTGAGGGAACACATACCGGCGCTCACTTCTGGATCATGTCGTGATCTCGACAGTAATGTCGGGATCCGTCCCGGCCGCGGCGGTCTCAGTTGAGCTTTAGGGTCACGGGAGGACATTAGTTTGGACCATGTAAAGCCCGCTGTACCCTTAAAAACCACCAAAACACCTTCATTTGTTTGATTTTTAATTTCTACCAAAATTTCGGTAAAAAGGAAATTCCCGATGTTTGCTGATCCTTGTACAAAGGTGACGCCTCGCGCTTCCTGTGTCGGCTGTTTACGGAGAAGCTTCCATATTACTATATATCATTGCTGATCTCTCTGATCTCCGAATGTTTCTGAATAGGGAAGGTCGGCTGAAGATAGAAACATAGGGAACACATTGTAGAGTTGAATGTCTTTCGGTCTCCGGATAATAAACCCTCCGGGAAGTTTTAGGCGTAGGTGTTACGGTGGCGGCAGACATAGCGGCCGGTGCATGAGCGAGATCCGGATTGGAGGCCTGTTCAGTGAGATTGCTTTTTCTCGATCAGCGCCGGGGGAGTTTATTGTGTGAAAACCCCCCCCGCCGCTCTTATAATCACTTTGTAAATACTTATCTGGCGGGTATCGGAGACACACAGTGATTCAGCGCCGCCTCGGTACACCTCATCCGGGAAGATTCATCTCACATTACACCCACAGCCCGAGATGAGTCTCTTATAGGGAAGATTGATGAAAGTCTCGGCTCCTTGCGTCATGTAGAGTGAATCTTACGGAGGAGGAGATACCTGTGACCAGGGGCAGCTGAGTGACCCGAGCAGGGGATCCTGTAGGATGACCAGTGTGTACAGACAATGTGTCCTCAGTCAGCTGTCAGCAAATCACCAATTGTTGTTTTACAGGACGAGTTAGTGTTAGGGTTACAGGGAGGTTTAGGGTTACAGGAAAGGTTATTGTTATGGGGGGGAGGGGAGGGGGGTGTTAGGGTCATTGTTGGGTTTATAGGCAGAGCTAATAATAAGGTTGCAGGGAGGGTTAGTGTTAGAGATTCACAGAGGGCTAGTGTTAGGGTTATAGGGTGGATCAGTGTGAGGGTTACAGGGAGGGTCAGTGTTAGGGCTACAGGGAGGGTCAGTGTTAGGGTTACAGGGAGGGTCAGTGTTAGGGTTACAGGGAGGGTCAGTGTTAGGGTTACAGGGAGGGTGAGTGTTAGAGTTACAGGGAGGGTCAGTGTTAGGGCTACAGGGAGGGTCAGTGTTAGGGTTACAGAGAGGGTCAGTGTTAGGGCTACAGGGAGGGTCAGTGTTAGGGCTACAGGGAGGGTCAGTGTTGGGGTTACAGGGAGGGTCAGTGTTAGGGTTACAGGGAGGGTCAGTGTTAGGGTTACAGGGAGGGTGAGTGTTAGAGTTACAGGGAGGGTCAGTGTTAGGGCTACAGGGAGGGTCAGTGTTAGGGTTACAGAGAGGGTCAGTGTTAGGGCTACAGGGAGGGTCAGTGTTAGGGCTACAGGGAGGGTCAGTGTTAGGGTTACAGGGAGGGTCAGTGTTAGGGCTACAGGGAGGGTTAGTGTTAGGGTTACAGGGAGGGTCAGTGTTGGGGTAACAGGGAGGGTCAGTGTTAGGGTTACAGGGAGGGTCAGTGTTGGGGTTACAGGGAGGGTTAGTGTTACAGGGAGGGTTAGTGTTAGGGTTACAGGGAGGGTCAGTGTTAGGGTTACAGGCGGGGTCAGTGTTAGGGTTACAGGGGGGGTCAGTGTAAGACAACTTTGGGATAGGTGTTACTCTCTAAGCTCTTCATTGAGAACTTTCATTGCTGAATTCCTTCCACTGAAATGAAATCTTTAATATTTATAAATTTGGAACAAACAGAAAAACCGAATCTGAGACATAAAACTCTAAATTTCTGTCACTTCCTGTCGTTGGCTGTTTCTTTGTTTTTTCTGTTTCTCAGTTTCCGCCATTTATGATTTCGGAAGACGCTGCGCCCGGCACATCCGTTGTGACCCTGACAGTGACTGACGGCGATGTGGAGACGGAGAACAAAGCGATGGAGTTCTCCGTACAGTCCGGGAATGAAGACGGAACTTTCAGCATCAAACCCGATGAGGACCAGAACACCGTCACCGTCTTCCTGGACAAGGTGAGCCCCGCTGGGTGGTGACCCGTATTAAAGGCGTTCCTTCCGTTTTCTGGGAAACCTTTGCTTGCATCAGGCCCGAGAGCTCATGAGAGGAGTACTAAGGCAGGAAGCAGCACCCTGCCGGCCCCTCCCACCAGCCATGATCTGCCTGCAATGCACAAGGATCCAGTGATGACATCACTGGATCTAAAATAAGGTCTGTCATGAAAATGGACATTTTTTATTTATTAGTAGATATCAGGGGCGTAACTAGAAATCACAGGGCCCCATAGCAAAATTTTGTATGGGGCCCTGTGATTTCTAGTTACACCCCTTGAAGAGCCCACATAGGTCACCTGAGGGTGACCCTGCAGAGCCCACCATAGACTCTCTATGGTGGGCTCTGCAGGGTCACCCTCAGGTGGGCTGGTCACACTCCTTACCTGTCCGCCTCTTCTTCCTTCGTCTTCCCTCCTCCGTCGCCGGGCACGCCACGGCCTCCGGCGCCGGGGCCA